TCTTAACAAACCATCCTGTAGGAAGCTTAATAAGTATTGCGAATTGCGTTATTCGATTTGTTGGATCGTATCGTTGGAAGGAGATTCTTAAATTCCCGTGGATTTCGCGTAAGTGTCTCTGCTTACGGGTCCACCCCACCGTTTTTGGCCCTTCATACAGCGATATTGTGAATTCAGATCGGTAGCTCAAATTGATCTTGCTATTAAGTGGAGCTGCATACAAGACAAGATCTTCGAAGGGATGGTGGCTACCTTACATACAATTACCCGATCCTTCGGAAAAAATATTGTTGGAACTGATGAACCGTAAAATAGATTCGAAAGTGGCTAAAAACCACCAACATTTAAAAAAAATCTCCGTTCAATCTCGAAAACGGTGCGACTTAGCAAAATTTTATGTAAATGCTTATTTATTGTTTATTTGGTGTACTTTCAATCTATTAAGTCGAAAAATTTTATATTTGTGCAATAACTTAAGTTCTTACAAAAATCATAACTTTTTTGTCCATCATTTCTCCATCTTGACCTAAAGAGCAATAGGTGGCATTTATTGTCTTCTAAAACATTAAAAAAAAAATTAAAAAATAATAATATAAAAAATACGATTTTCAGAAAACCGGTTTTTCTTTTTTGTCAGTGTGCCGATTGTGCCGGTCATAGAGCAAGCAGCAATTGTTTGTAAAAACCCATCCCGGCAACCCGATATTTCTGACATCTTGAATGTTTTGGTTTAAAATCGCAAGGATAATCGGATTGTGGATGACGCGGGAAGTGGCGGGTGTTGGTGTTTTATGTTCATAGGATGGTAAAATTCCTGTATTTTAGGGTTTTATAATGCCCTCAAAGACAGACCAGAAGCCTAACCTATCGTGGTGTGAAGAGCAACGGTTTATCAGCGGCCGGAGAACGACTATAGAGGATGATGAATAGATTTCTGTAGTTTGTGTTGTGTGAGTTGCATCATTTTTTGAATTAAGGGTGCTAAAGGGGTCTGATTAACTGCCTCTTTCTCTTGAGCCCACTATAGAACCTACATTTCGTATTTAGATCTATAAGTGAACTGCCGGTCAGAGCTCCTCTGGTAAATTCAATTAGAGGATGTTCCTGAATATACAGTCAAACCGCACATAATGTTGCGGACAACTTCAATGATAGTTATCCAACAGTGTTCCCATTTTATTTACAACAACCTAATGTCTACGAGATTGTGCTGAATTAAAAAAAAAAACAAGAATGAAATTTTTGTAGCGTGATTTTTTTTCAAATAGTTTCAAGTGTTACAACATTGTCAAAGGTAGCAAACCGATTGCACAAACATTTTTCTAGTAACAGTTTTCTGAAGATAAGCTTAACATTTTTTAATAGGTATTTTTCAAAATTAAGGCTAGATTTAAAATGGTGATCTGAAGTTTTTGGGCATGAGGAACGTTTCTGAAAATATTCAGATTAAATATATGGAAGTTAATGGATATGTGAATTTGTCTGGAATCGCTCATGAACAATTATTTCAATCTAAATTGATTGATGAGCGTTTTAGTAGAATAATTGTATACCTTTTTCGTCGAAAAATCGACGAAAAAGGTATATTATTATTTCAAATTTGATTCAGGCCCTAGGGCAAAAAACCAGAGCATTAGTACCAAAACTAGCACACTTACCCAATGAGACTTCATTTTTTGTTATTTATCGTCCTTAGAAAACTTAGAACAAATCGTCAAGATTCAGTGAATATTTTTGACATTTGAGGTCATAAAACTATGTGAGTTCTCAGATCAATATTGTGGCCATGAAGAAATAACGTTTTTAGTTTTTGTAATAATTTTGATTGTAAAGTACTTTTAAAACTGAGCGTCATGCATTAAAAACGTTCGAGTTTTCGTTTTACCCAAAATGACATATTTGTTAGCGCATTGAAAAATAGGTATGTTTAAACATCTGGAAATTTAACTTTTAGTCCTGGGAAACCCTGTAAAAACCAGGGAATTCTCGTTTACAAAAGGAGTAGACAGTCTGATCCATGTCTGTCACGCTAAAGGTTGTTAGTGCAAATCTCATCTCCGGGATTTTTGTTTGTATAGAAATCAAATGTAGTTTAAAAAAAATCCAAAAGAATTTCAGTAAATCACCATAAATGTGTATATATTTCCAAAACGCTAATTATTTGCTTTCCAAATCCGTTTAAAAATCAAAAATTGGTTAATCGTTTAAAAATCAAAAATTTGTTGATTTTAGGAGTGTTTGAACCAGGGAAGTGGCACCCCTATCTCTACTAATAACAAGTAGCCGTAGCGAGCATAACCGCGGGTCCACGCTTGGGCCTAGCTTTGATTGCTTTGTTTTAACTTTTTTATGCTGCCTACGAAAAGATGGCTGCATGCCAGTCCCTTGGTTTGAACAACATCAAATGTTCAAAGGGGTTTTATGTTACTTCATACGAGAAGTTTACGATTTTCAGAGTTGGTTGGAAATGCTATCCAACATGAAGCTTCATAATTTATTAGCTAGAGAAAGGTCTGAAGAGGGTAGGTAGATAGTTCCTCAAGGAAAACAAGGTCGACGGAAAGCAAGTAAAGGAAAAAAAAAATCAGAAGAGATTACTCCACAACCAAATAGGCTATTCGTAACCTTAGAACGTCAATTTAAATAAATGTACAAACATTTTGTTTTTGTTACAGTAACTACAGTAAACAGACTGATTACCGGCGGGTATCCAAATTGTCAAAAAATGGCCCATTTTCACCATGGGTGGGATTTTTTATTTCCTAATACGTTTAGCTTAAATTTCCCAGAAGCTGAAGAAAATACCCTGGGTCCATGACCAATTTGTAGAGCCTGAAGACGTCTTATAATGCCATCGATTAAATATTAAATTTTCTAAAGCTTTCTATGCGAATTGGAGAAGGTCGAGTGAAAAATTTAATTGTTGTATACTATTTGACCTGGAACTGCTTAAATGGCTTAGTTTTTCCTAACCTCCAAAATTAAAATCAAAATGTGCAGGAAACGTTGGGGTATTTACTACAACAATGCAAATTAAATTCGAGTTTATTCAACCCAACATTGTGTTCTTCACCACGTAACCGCTCGCCTTCAGCAGCAGCTTATCGTAATCTTGTGAACAATCAATCGAACGAGGAAAAACTAGCACCATTTCCTAAGCTGATTGGTTTTTTCCGCAACTAACTAACATTAACCCTCATAACTATCGATTCCATAAACGAAAAATTGAAATCAAATTTCCGCCGATCTGCAGCGCATATGTATGGAGAAGACGGGGTAAGACGGCCACCTTAAGTAAAATTTATCGTAAACTGTATAAATTTCCGCGATAAATTTAATGAATATTGATCTTTATTGTACTTTCCCTAATTACATTTGCAGAAAATTTCCTTTTTATTTGATGATATTTTATCACGATTCAAAAATAGACTAAATAATGAAAGGAAAAAGTCAGGCGGGATAAGGTGGCTACCATGGTCTTGACCATGTCAAAGGTTACTGTCTTCGGTAAAATTGCACAAAAGGTCAAGGATGATTGGTTAGAGAACAGTAGTACATAATTTTACCACTATGCAGCGTTAATGTGTAAGTCAATTTGCTGTATAAAACATATCTTGAGATCATTACTATTTAGAATCTTTCCGTCTTCGGAAAAGTAGTCCAGGTAGTAGTCCAGCTGGTGAACCTAATTTTATGAATCCTGATGAATGTTGGCGTCTCAGTGGAATTCCTCTATAAATAGAGAGAGAGAAGGATTAGTAATTTCCATTTAATTCCACTACCTTATTTGCTTATCCTTGACAGACACGCGTATTTCGTCTACAATGTGCAGACTTCTTCAGTGTCTTGTAGTAATACTCGACTGTCGAGTATTAGTCGAGTATTAGTACAAGACATTGAAGAAGTCTGCACATTGTAGACGAAATACGCGTGTCTATCAAGGATAAGCAAATAAGGTAGTGGAATTAAATGGAAATTACTAATCCTTCTCTCTCTCTCTCTTTATAATGAAATGATTGCTTTTTCGAATGTTTGGGATTTTCCGGAGGATCGCCAGGGCCTCCCTATCACGAATTCATACTGATGACAAATCTATACATGTTTTCGGAAAAAGCCGGATATATTTCAGAAACGAAATATTATTATTTACTGCATTCAGTTACAGTTAAACTGTTTCAGCTTCTGTAATACCTCATAGTTTAAAGAATTTAAATCTTATTATATTTTTCTCTGTAAGTACATCGACCAGACTTGTGTTTTCCTTATAGTAACCTTACTTTTACATGATAAATTATATAATAGCTCTAAAACATACAGGCCGCTGCCATACACAATGTTTGTTTTTGTTGTTTATTTTGAAGTTTCACTTGTTACCAAGCTAGGAATGTGTATTACAACACTACACGTACCCTATAGAAAAGAACTCTGCATCAATAATTTTTGTTCAAGAGTTTATTGTTTCAATAATCTAAAGGGTGGCCGTCTTACCCCTTCGTCCCCTAATCATAGTTACCCAATGCTGAAAACAGGAAAGGGGCTGTTCATAAACTACGTAGACAGTTTAGGGGGGGGGGGTTGACAATTATCCACGGTCCATACAAATTTTAAAATTTTTGAATGGACAATTGTCTACGCAGGGGGAGGGGGGTTAAGAATCCCAAAAAAAAAACTGTATACGTAGTTTATGAACAGCCCCAAAAAAGAATCCACACCACCTAATGCACACATTCGTAGGTTTCGTGTAACTTATGCTTTTTATCGGATCTTTCTACCCACTCTGATGAAAAGCAACTGTAACTCAATGAATGGATTAATCAAAGCTCCGCTTTCAAGTTCAAGGATTTTCTATTTTCTTTTGTTTATGCACTTCTAGCTCAAACCATCGTTAGTTTCTATTTATGTTTTCCTTGCTTATTTCAAGCCGCTTTTTATGTTGAAACAAAAAAGGTTTGATGAGTAATCGCTGATGTTGTTGCTTTCGTTGTTTCCGCTATACATAGGAAACCTCTTCGGTACTCTACTTCACAAGCTGAGCGTGAAGCGGCTGCACGTGCTCGATACACCCATTGCCACTATAAGCGATCATGTGTTCTACGGGATCAACGATACGCTGCTGGAGTTGCACGTGGTGCAGAGCGAGCTGGCGACCTTCCCGGCGGATGCACTGAAAATTCTGGGACACCTGAAAGTGCTGAACATCGATGGACATCGGGTCGAAAATTTGCCCAAGGAAGTGTTTGGAGGGATGACCTTCGAAGGAACGCTGGAAAAGTTCCATTTCGTCAATGGGCTGCTAAGTGATATGGGTCAGGACATTTTTATGGTGAGTCTTGACCGATTGATTGGTCTCTAATTTCATGGAACTCAATAATATTTTCTTTACTTTCAGTCGTTCAAAAAGATTAGAACTTTGGATATTCATGGCAACCGGTTAGTGACGTTGAAAAAGGGTCAATTCAAAGGACTTCGCGAGGTGGAAATTCTTGACTTAAGTTTCAATAATCTCACCAAGCTGGATGCATCGCATGTGTCGGATCTAACGAAAATGACTTGGGTCAATGTATCGCACAATGCACTGACGGAAATTACGAGGGGCACGTTCGCACGTAATGCGGTGCTACGGGTGCTGAACATGTCGTTCAACAACATCAAGAAGATTGACTCCAACACCTTCAGGGGGATGAGATTTTTGCGACGGCTGTATTTGCACGACAACATGATTGCCGAGGTTGGACGAGGAACGTTCGGATCGGCTACGCGGATTGGTACCATCGATTTGGCCAGGAACCGGATCAAGAAGGTGGACTACCAGATGTTCTTCCAGCTAAACTATGTAGAGGTATGTATTATTGAATGTCTTTGATTTTATCAAGTTAAAATGAACACCTAAAATTAAAAATAAATTGCCACGAAATTTAATGTCATTAACAAAAACATTAACACTTCTCTCATTTCCACAACAGATTGTTAACTTGGCAGAAAACGAGATCGTCGAAATACAAAAGGACTCCTTCAAGGATCTGTATCTCACCCACATCAATATATCGTACAACCGGCTGGAAACGATTGAGCCAAAATCCTTCATCAATTGCGCCAACATGACGGTACTCGATCTGTCCCACAACTTGATCAAGAGCATTCCTCGAAACGCATTCGACGAAACGACCTACGCCTCCGAGTGGATCCTAACGCATAACCTACTAACCAATATGTCCCAGATTCCCCTTGGGAACATGACCGGTCTACGGGTACTCAACGCTTCCTACAACAATATCGTAGACATTCCAAAGAATTCGTTCCCCAAACTCTACGAATTGCACACGATCGACGTCGCACACAACAACATCTCCCACATCTACAATGCCGTTTTCCAGAATATTTTTTCACTGCGAATTCTCAACCTCAGCAACAACGCAATGGAAAAGATTGGTCCTTCCACTTTTGGGACACTGCATACACTTCTCGAGATGGATTTGAGCAACAACTACCTCCGAGATATAACCCGTGGTGCACTGGCTAAAATCAGTGGTTTACGAATCCTCAACATGGCACACAACAAACTGGAAAGACTGTTCCAAATTCCAATCTCGTTGAACCATGTCAACCTAGCGTATAATGAAATCAGTGAAATTCCGGATAAGACTTGGCCTAGCATGAACTCACTACTCTCGCTGGACCTGAGTTACAACAAAGTTGGAAACAACCTCCAGCGTGGAAGCTTCTCCGGTTTACTCACACTCCAACAGTTGAACCTGGAAGCTAATGAAATCTCCGAAGTTCCACGAGATAGCTTGTCGGATTTGGGGTCTTTGCAGTACATCTACTTGAAAGATAACAACATTTCAACGTTGCCAAAGGGAGCCTTCGGTAACCTGCCGATTTTGTTTGAAATTCATTTAGTGAACAATGGATTGAGTAGCATCAGCGGAAGGGCTTTCAATGGTCTACTGCAGTTGTTGACGCTGAATATGTCCAATAATTTGCTAAGAACTATCCCAAACGACGCCTTCCATGGGTTGGTGTCACTGCGTAAGCTAGACGTTTCGCAAAATCTGCTTAGCACTTTGGACAACAAGACGAATGGGTTATTGGATGAATGCTTGAGTTTAGAGGAAATCGATTTGAGTCACAATAGATTTAATACCATTACAAAGAAAACATTCCCCTCCAATCAATACATTCGATATCAGTTGAAGAAGATAAATTTAAGCTACAACGCAATGTCCATCGTGACTCACGATATGAAGTTCGGTACCAAAACGGTGACGGATCTGAATCTCTCTCACAACAACATCAAAGACATTCGGCCGGATGTTCTGGGTAATCTGACATCATTGCGTATATTGGATATGTCGTACAATGAACTGGTCAAGATGGAAAGCGACGTGTTCAATATGCCCGAGAACTTTTCTGAGCTGATTTTACACAACAATCAAATATGGAACGTGAGCTACGATAGGTTGCTGAAGTTGAATCATCTGACCAAGGTGGATCTGAGGGGAAATGAGATTAAAACATTCGATTCCGAGCTGGTGGGCAAAATGAAGTCGTCCAATTTGAAAGTACTGTTTGAAGGTCAGTAAAATTGTTTGATGCTATTGATCTGTTTTAGGCTCATCTGAGATTCTTCACAGGAAATCCACTGCATTGCGATTGCTATACGCGTCCTTTGTACAACTACATGAAATCATTGCCATCGGTCCCGGAAGAGTATCAGAGCATTCGTTGTGCGGAACCAGCAACCGTTTCCGGCACATCACTGTACAACGTCACTGATGAGCTCCTCGTTTGTGTTCCTGCTTCGGATAAGGAAATCTATCAGCTACTGCCTGATCTACGCTTCCGCGAAGTTGCCTTGTAAGTTTCTAACAGTAACCTCCCGAAAGAGCCCATCACAATCTTGCATTTTTTTTTCTAATTCCAGCTTCCGAGGTCAACTGATCGTCCACTGGTACGTTACTGCCACCAAAGATATCGGCGACTTTTACGTATACATCCGAGATCCGAAGAACAACATCATCTTCGAACGGGTCGTGTCCTACAATGGTCGTTTGACGGCGATCAACGTAGCTGACATCAAGGCACGGGATTCGTCCGCTCTGGAGCTGTGTGTACTGGCCAAAAGCAGTAGCGAGGAAATCAACTTCCTCGACCGGCAGTGCGTGCATCTGCCGGAAGATCTCGATGCGGTTAAGCTGAAGTACAACGAGCACTACAACTACAAACTACCGCTAAGTTTGACGGGCGGCCGAAACGGACGCTCCAGTAGCTGTGATAATGCTGTAAATAATTTAGTGATACTAGTAGGTGCCGTCGTTGGTGGACTGCTGCCCAGATGGGTTCGATTGTAAGGCGATGGTCCTGAAGAATCCGCAAAGTAAATTGCAGCTTTTTTTTTGTTAATATGTAATATTTAGTTTAAAATCACTTCTGTAGAAAACTAGAGTAAAATATTTATTAGTAAATCGACTGGAATGTGTTTTATTTGTATTATTATGAGGTTATCTGGGTGAACGATAATTTCTACAGACGAAATTAGCTGGTTTGGCTTTTTTCACTTCATTGATAGGGTTAGTGGGGGGGGGGGGGGTTAGTTCACTATTTTCTGTCCCTATTGTCACTGAAAAAGTAGTTCGTGAACGCCCAGTTAAAAAGCAGCCCAGTTAAAGAACACCCAGTTAGCGCACAAGGACTGTAGTATCTTGACGTAGAGTGAAGACATTTAATACTATCGTCGTGGCGCACTTTTTTTTAGGAGTAATCGAATCAGGGATGGATCCACCTCAGAGCAGAAAAAGAGAAAAGTAATATTCTAACTTCACTCTGTTCTCAATACCATGCGCTCTTCTCCGCTTTGCATCGACTTTCCTCTTCAAAGCTGAGGACGGCTGTTCGGATGACCTCCTCAATGTTAAAAATAGTTTACGGTATCTCCGGCTTGTGACCAGTCCACAACTCACCTCGTATGCTCATTACGCCCCTTCCTCTCCTATCTATAGAATACTGTAACTTTTCTCAAATCAAACGTTTGGTTTCCAATAAGTAGGTGCACAGAACAACATTATTTGAAAATTAGGGGGATTCAGTTATTCACTGTTTTGATAGTAAGCATCATAGTTACGCGTCGAATGTATGCAGTTCCAATGTTTGCTTGTTGACAATGAACTTGAGTTTTCTACCTTGAAGGACCTTCTCCAGCGTCCCAACTGCTTTCATCTTGGCCCGATAACACCGAGCTCTCTCTGCAGCGGTCTTGGATCGTTTCGGAGAACCGTCAACCTGTCGATCCTTTGCGCGGTTTTGGGAATTACGAAGAGACATAGCACTGATTTTCACTGTTGCACAATTCAGTGCCAACATTTCAATGGGGTGTAATTGCTTTTGTAAACAATGGCCGTCGATTTCTTGCAAATAATGCCCGCCCCTCCAAATTAACCCGCAATGCCCACCCCTCCAAATTAACAATGCTAGCTGGTAGAGAAAACATTCATCTACCTGCTGGTGTAATTAACTTTCATGAGTGAGCTTTTATTCGGTAGAAATTGACGGCTAAAGCCATTGTTTACAAAAGCAATTACGCCCCTTTGAAATGTTGGCACTGAATTTCTCAATAATCACATATTCTACTTCCAAGCAGTATTTGTAGAACGCGGGTTCGTAATCACACAAGCACTCCTGAGCAGGCATGGACAATCATGTACATTCATTAAGTACATTCATTTAAATTCATTTAATCTTTTAAATTTGTCGAACCTCTTAACGGAATCCCTTTATGAAGAGCTTTGAGTGTGTTGGTTTATTTCTTTTCAATTCCGTTATAATTGCTTATCTTTTGACAGATACGCGTATTTCTGGATCAACAATAGAAAAGGGTCCATTAGCATTTGTAAACAAACCGTTCCAAAGCCCTTTGCTCACAAAGCGAAGGCCACCCACGCAAACCAACACCATCATCGGATAGGGGAAACTTCTACCTACACGATGATGGTGTTGGTTTGTGTGGGCGGCCTTCGATTTGTGAGGAATGGGCTTTGGAACGGTTTGTTTACAAATGCTGATGGGCCCTTTTCTATTGTTGATCCTGATTTCGTCTACTACTTGCAGACTTCATCAGTGCCAAGTACTCAACACCACTTTAAGCTTTAAGCTGGGTTTAGACTAGGCAAGTCAAATGATCAACTCAGTTGAATTCAATTGACTTGAAAAGTTGAGTCTGGTTCAACTTTCTTCAATTCAAGTGAGTTGATCAAGTCAGTTGAATGGCATGGTTTACACGTTCAATTCGCGTTCAAGTCAGTTGAATTCAACTGACTTGATCAATTGACTTGTCTTGTCTAAGCCCAGCTTTATGCTGGGTTTAGACTAGGCAAGTCAAATGATCAACTCAGTTGAATTCAATTGGCTTGCAAAATTGAGCCTGGTTCAACTTTTTTCAATTCAAGTGAGTTGATCAAGTCAGTTGAATGGCATGGTTTACACGTTCAATTCGCGTTCAAGTCAGTTGAATTCAACTGACTTGATCAATTGACTTGCCCTGTTTAAACCCAGCTTTATGATGAAGCTGTTGCTACTGCTTCCTGCTGATACCGTGAGCGATACCCTCACACCGCCGTCCAATGCGAGAATGAGCAGAGGCGCGACAGCAGTAGTAGGGAAATTTACGTATTCTCGGCAATCTAAGCAGCTTCCGCACTTCTATTAGCATTTCCTCAGTGTCACGCACACATATGACGTGTTTGTTTGTTTACATTTATCTGCTGTTAGCTACTCTATCCATTTCAATCGACAGAACGGTTCAAAACGGTTTGAAAACGTTTTTAAGGCGCTCCAAACTTCTCAGGTGAGTGTGACTATTGTCGGCAGTCTCTTTTACTTCGGCAACCTTTCCGTTTAAACTGTGTGTTAACCAGTTGTTCTATTATCGGCAACTCGGAATCAGCCGTATTTTCATGTGCTGATGTTTCATTTGAAGAAACACCTGACATAACAGGTTTTATCAGTCGTGAAAATGTATTAGGATTGAACCTGAAAGACTAAGGAATCGTTTAAATACATTACATTAACGTTTAAATTGTGGTTGCCGAAAACAGTCGATGGCTGCCGAAGCCATCATTTACCCTACCTAGTAAAAAAACAGAAAGATTATGATTGCACATTGATTTAACATTTTAATTGATTAGCTTACCTGGTTCTTCATCTTCGTTTCATTGGAGACGAACCAGCCCAGGGCTGAAAGTCTCCTTAATAAAGATATAAAAGAAATCTTCGTTTCATTGTATGTTCTAATTTAATATTTGCGTTTTGCAACTATTTTACAGAATACCTAATGTTTTGTTTGAATTGAAAAATGTGTTAACCTACCTAACTACGAGTATAACTTAACCTAACGTGCTAGATCACGTATAATCTGATGATCTGATCTCAGTCAGGTGTCTCTGAACCTTTCCAGGATGAATACACTCCGTTCTTCTAATGTCTGAATTCCAGCCAGGAGGTGCATCTTAGAATTTTGAGTCCGCGGTGGAGTGTTTAGGATCATCCTTAGGATCTTGCTCTGAATCCTTTGTAGTTTAAGGTGATGGTATTTGGAACAACTCTCCCAGATTGGCATACCACCCAAGTAACAATCCAGTAAACATTTAGCATCCACTCTGATTTATGATGGTTTTATAACGGCAATGAACAATCCAATTAGTTTATATATAGCATTTCAAAGTGTAAAACATTCCTGCTTAGTAATTCAGCTTTTTGCTATTTTAAAAACCTTTTATAGTCTGGCAAGAAAGTCAAAAATTGTCTTGATTTAAAAATAAATTTAAAAAAGTTATCAATCCCTCCTTAAAACTGTTCTGTAATTCAAGCATAAACGTCATTAGCTATTGTTTATTAATGTCTTGATAAAATACTTTATAAACGTCTTCTATCATAACCATAGCAACCATAAAACCATTAAGTTTTGCAAAAAGCATTTATTGTTGCTTTTTAGGCTTTTTAAAGTGCCTCATTAACTCCCCAATTACTCTGTTTACAAATTGAGCTTAAAATATGGTTCCTCATAGTTAATAAACGCCAAATTTATGACAAGGAAATCTCGAAGGATAGATGCATATGCATATGCATACTCAACAACAGGTAGTATTAGGTGTCTATAGACAGCAACCTTATTATTCTGGGATAAGGTGGACTTCCTATTGATAAGCGGATACAGTGATCTCATCAAGATGTTGCACTTGGTGTTAGTTTTGTCAATGTGCTGCCTGAAAAGAAGTTTGCTGTCTAGTGTTAGTCCGAGGTACACAACCTCTTTGGACCAGGCCTGAACATACTAATTACAGCTAAAATACTACTTTTCGAAATTTGGGAACTATGAGATATTCTAATAATAATTTTTATATGTAAGATGCAAGAAGAGGAGGTAAAGTTTGTGTATGACACATAAAACCGGTCAATTTTGCTTTCTGAGGGTCACAACCAGCTATTTTAGCTGTAATGAGTAATCGTCATGAATGAGTACTATTCGTTATAGCTAATCGCTAATTTTGACACTCTGGAAGTGAAATTGACAGATTTTATGTGTAATACACAATCTTTACCTCCTCTACTTGCATCTTACATATACAAAATATTATTATAGAGGAAATGGCTCTAATGATTGGGCTCATCGCTAAAAATGAGCTATTTATCAATTTCATCTAGATGAAAGCATTATTGGGACGGTAGTAATGGATATTTTTGGTCGCTATTGAAAATTTAGCCGATTGCTGAATTTATGTTTGGGCAAAATTAAGGGGCATTACATCCCCCAAAAACTCATAGTTTCATAATTTCGAAAACCAGTATTTTAGCTGTAATGAGTATGTTCAGGCCTGCTTTGGACCATTCCACCACTGAGCCGTTTAAGCATATCTTATTATTTTCAGACGGAACAAGTCTTGGTGATTGAGAATGTGGAAATATGATGACCAGGGTCTCCGCCGCGTTGATACCCGAGCAGGAGAAAATAACTTATGAATACACAGATAAAAATTCTGAATTTTAATTGTGATGTAAACATTCATTCACGTAAACTTAAATTTAATTTCACACAACCGAGCAACTTGTAAACAATGTTGTTTACAAAGATGGGCTTTTGTATACAATATTTGCTACATTGCATGAATTGTGCTAGAACTTTACATGATATATAATGTAAACTTATATGATATATGACGCTCCATTTGTGTGCATCATATTGAACAGAAATTTACACTACTTTTCGAACTGTGTACCTAATTCTGACCTGATACGAAAATTTAGTGTTGATAAAATATCAAAGAATAATACCAAAAAATTGCATGCAAAATACTTTGTAAATAACA